CATTTTAATTCATTGGTCCATTTTGAGGCGTCTGTCTAGCAAGACCACCACCTTTAGCAAGTACAACTACCAATATTCTTCTTCTTTCAACGTAGCAGCAAGGTAAATCCTTTACCTGTGGGTCTTCTTCTTTTATTCAATTTTTATTGAATTTTATAGTATGAATATGAGTAAAACACCAAAGAATCTCTTTCTCGGAGTTTACCTAAACCCCAAATGAATATTACCTAAAAATTCTCACTCCTTTTCACTTTTGATTTAACATTATTTTATTTTCCCTTCTATAATTTTCTAATTGTTCTTATGCTTTTAACTTGAATATGATATACATTTGATTCTGCATTTGATTGTTCCTAATTGTTCCTTCTACATTTAATATGCTATTATTTCCTAATTGTTCTTATGCTTTTAACTTGAATATGATATACATTTGATTCTGCATTTGATTGTTCCTAATACGCTTTTAATTGTTCCTAATTATTCCTTCTACATTTGATTCTGTTTTGTGTATGCTTTGATACTGCAGCACTAAATTTTTTTAATCTCCGTTAAAGCAATAGCTTATAACTCTATTACATTTAATATCTATTTGGTTCATTTCCTTTTACTCACATTATTGCTTCGTGTTGTTTGTCAAGTTAACCCATAAGTAAACTGTAATATACCTTAATTTTGTTTAAACGGTAGGTAGTAGTAAAAATGGAGGTGAATGATAAATCATATTGCTATTGTTGTGTTGATTTCTGGTTTTATTTGGCTTTTTTTGTTGCTAGGCTATTTTGTAGATAGGTGTGCCTTGGCAATGGTAATAAGCTGGCCAGACACCCAAAAAGAAGAATTCACGTCTTTGTAAATCAGAATGCTCATTAGAGTCAATTTTCTGGAAAGTGTCCTTACATCCATGAACCCTGAAAATTTGTTGTTTGCACAAAATATTTTAGTGATCATGCTCCAATCCTGATTGTAAATTGACACATAAGGTGTTTTAGTTTTAGACTCTTAGCAATTTCAATTTTGATTTAACATTATTTAATTTTTCCTTATATTATTTCCTAATTGTACTTATGCTTTTAACTTGAATATGATATACATTTATATTTTCTAGGGGTATGAATAGGACACATGGACTGCAGCTGCAAAGTATTTGGATGTGAAATCTTTCATAATACTTGCACCAATTTGTAAGTTGTTCCAATATATCATCATTTTTTAGTGTGTTTGAGGTGTGAATCAAGAAAAAATTGCACTGTAGGAGTCTTTCACTAACAGAACGGTTTCCGGTGCATGGCAATGAGCAATATTTGTAATTCACCGGGGGGTCTAAAGAAAAATTAAATCTGAAAATGGTCCTTAGCAGTTGAATAATATTACTATATAATGCAAAAGATCATACTTTTAGGGGTTGATTGTTCGGGGCATTAAGTTATGGTTTACTGATTTAGTAAGTCACTATCATATTTTTATTGTGTGTGGTTTAGTAAGTTGCATCATGAAATAATATACCCTGTATTTATTCGGTAGCCGAAAAGAAAAATACAAAAACACGAGGAAAAATTTACTCACATGATGGTAGTCATTCTTACATGTTCCCTACCAAGTAATCGTTTACTTAAAAAATCAGAACGATTGCTCAATAAATGACAGATGGTAGTCATTCTTACATGTTTCGCTCTACAGA